TTCTACTAGTGAAAAAAGAGTAACGTATATATGACAATTTATATGCACAAATATGCAAGTTTATAAGTTTAGTACTGCTAAGTTTCTAAAGGGGAAATTAAACTTTCTAAGAAAGGCAAGCTTTCACCTTTTTTGTATCCCTTTTCTCTTCATCCAAGTCGACAAGTGACCCACTATTATGGATGCGTTTGAATAAGATTTGTAAGTGTAAGCTTTTAGCATAATTATATTAATTAGATCAATAGGAAATTAAATCAAGGAAGGACTAATTAATTAAAGCTTTAGAAATTGTGTAACCCAGGATCTGAAATGAGAATATGCTTTCCCTTTCACCATAGTTTAAGTAGTGATCATTAATTAATACAAAAGTTAAGTGATTAAATGTAATTAATGTGAAAGGTTGAACTTTACATTTGTAACTTTGTTCAAAGAAAGGGTTCGCTCGTACATTAGGTATGCATGCGTGAATTAATATCTGAGAATACCATTCGCACGTTGTCACTATAACTACTTGGAACTTGGGACCATTAAATTTGCAGTGTACGAAGATGCTTTGCCCCATTACACCAACCACCACTGCTTCATTCAGGGTATATGCTAGCTGGTCATCGTCTGAGAATTGTACAAATTTAAGAATTCAATTACATCTAACCTGCGATTATATTCTTGAACTATATGCCATCATTTTGAAAGAAAACTTCAAACTTCATAACGTTAAGCTGCAAAATCATGTAACTTTGAATACTTGTGATTGTGAAAATTCTTCACTTAGGAATGATGATGATGATACACACACACACACAGGGCTTGCAATAGTATTGGCATGCAAGAATGCGTCTTTAAGTTTATTTATATATAGACACACACACACACATAATGAATTTGTAATGTCCAAATGGGGATTAGAACAAAAAAAAACACATGTATTACGGTGTTGGTGGGAATCCTTCATAAAAGAGAAAGAAGAAAGAAAAAAATTGAAGGCAGCTTTTGGTGCATATATAATTTATCTATGTGGTTATTTTTAATATGTATTGTATATTTCTCTAACTTTGTTCTTGAGCCTTTTTCAGCAAGAAGTAGCAAAGAAAATGAAGGTATCAAGGTTTAGGGTTTCGAACTTCAAAAAGGTGGCGAACACGTTCTAGGGCAGAAATTTAATTGTAAAAAGGGGTTAAGTATATATAGAACATGCCTGCATTGTACGATTTTGACGATAATTAATGCCCAGGAGAGAAGGGATATGTTATTATAATCACTTCAATTAGTTTATATTATCGTATGTCCACTTAGAGAACTCAAAATCATAATGACCATATAAGCCCCCCCATTAGTTTTTCTTGATCTAAAAAATCCTTGTCCATCAGCGTGGGGACTTAATCATGACATGATTAGGTTTTCTCAAGTTTTAAATTATTCATAGGTACTTGCATATTAATTTTCTAGTATGATGATACCCACATAAATTACTCCTCTAGAGAGTTAAATAAGTTACTTAGTTTTTAAAAAAATGTGACATAATTTTTCTAAAATACCACTACTTAATATTAGTTTATATACATATGTACAAATTTACAAGTTAAAAAAAATTTAGTTCGAAAGAAAATGATGGATATTAGAGTTAAAATGAATTAAGGTCTTGTTTTGCAACTAAAATTAACTCTTTGACTAGCTCCAACATTTAGGACTGAATGATAAATAATTTAGTCTTTAAATATTACATTTTCTTAAGTTATTTTCTAATAATTAATTTTTTAATTCTCTCAATCCCATTCATTTATTGATGATTGAGGATTATCTTCCAGACAAAAGAACATAGTGATTGAGAAAATTCTTTGGGGAAAAAAAAAATCAAATTGAGATGTTCTATTATTATCAGTTGGAATATAGAGAGAACATGATAACACAAAATGAGAAATCACTTAAACATGGACGTCAGAGATGACATCGATAAGCATTCAAAGCTCTAAATAATAATATATAATAATCCTTACAAGTTTATATTAATATGCTTTATTTTGTAACTACGTATTTAATTAAGTACCACTTTCATCCCCCATAGGACGTTGGTGACTTGGTTATGAGTCATTACTTTTATTTTTGGGTTGTACTATGAATCTCAATGGGGACCAACCTGATATCAATTAAAATCCACCCTCATGCATTATTTTAAATTTGTTCACTCATACATAATAACTTCTTCACGACTTTTCGTTGTTAATTATTTTATCTTCTCCCCCAATAAAAGGACGATGTTGGAAATCAAAGTGTTTTGTTTTGCTTCCTTTAATTTTTTTAAATATGATCTTCAAAATAATAATGGGAAGCATCGACTCAGTTTGCCTTGAGATCTCAAAGCAACACCTGTCAATGTCATTACATAGGAAGCAGCAAATTGTTATATTACTATCAGTTTCGTTTCCTTCTCCTTAATTAAATGATTAAATTAAGTTTATATATATTATGGGTTTGATCTTGTTGTGAAGACTGAGAATAAACATATGGACAAGAATTATTGTGCCAAAGTTATGTGATTAATTAGTTTCTTGATTCCTTCGATCTCGACCTTGTGAGTTTTAATGATGATGACCTGAGGTAAATTGTATTTAGAGGAGGTTTGAGTATAAGGAGTACTGTATAAATAAATATAATTAGCATCAATTCTTTTTAAGCTGTTCATGTGATAATTGATGATTAAAGAAAAAAAGAATACTGCCATGTATTATGTACGAGTAGCAGTGCTTTTATATGTACTCTTCTAGTCCTATTTATACAATATTGAGAGAAATTTTTTGTATAAATATACAATTTTACCCTTCATTTATTATTATGTTGACTTTGTTTATATGAGGTACTCACTCCAGTCTTATATATGAGCTTCACTTTTGTCTGAGCATTTATTACTTTTCCTCTTATTTTCCCTTAAGTTGATTGTATTTAGTACTCTCTCTCTTTAAATATAACTCCTAGATATTCTCTTTTCATCATTTTTTTAATTTATTGACTCTCATTTATTCTCTTAAAGGGCAAATTTGGAGGGAGGAAAAAAGATATATTTCTAACCTATTTATTATTTTTAACTAATTTTAACTGTTAGTTCATTAAACATGATTCAGTTGCTTGAAGCTTATATATAAGACCAGAGAGAGTATATTGTATATTAAATACGGATAAAGTTGGAAAGTTGTTGAATTTTAAATAAGAATTAATGAAATTTAAGGTTTCCCTTGGTCTGTATTAAACATGTTAGAAGTGACTTATAAATAAAAGCAGAGGAGTGTGTGTATGTGTGTGTGTGTGGTGCCAGAATTTAAGGTGGATAATTATGCAGAGTTTTCAAGAACTGTTTTTGTGGAAGTGGACAACAAAGATGGTTGTTTCATTAAAGAAAAAAATACTAATTAACACAGGTGTTAATTGTGATTAAGATTTGTCGTTTAGCTATAATTCAATGTATGGAAATCAACATTTGGTCGAGTTTTAAATTAAATTTTATGGTTGAAATTTTATAAAAATGAGAGACGCACATATTTAGCTGACCTAACCCAGGTAAAAAGTTATATTAATTGAGAAAGAGATTTGTTTCAGGGTTCTAGTAGAGGCCCAATTTGAGTGAAAGAGGACCCTAACTAACAAGAAAGGGAGGTGCCTCTGGTGTATACTCAACTAATTTATAGGTGTTGAGTTTAATAAAAAAAGTTAGTTCCTCACAGCATGATGAACAAAGTTTGAATCCAAGCTGGGAGAGGTATTTGTATTTAATATCTGACAGTACTTTAAATAGGATTATTTCTAATAAAACGATACCTATCCCTAATAAGAAAAAATCTAGTGTATAAGTGTTAAAATCTTCCGTAAAAGAGGGTGTCAACCAAACCAAACTTTGGATGTTTTTACCAAAATAACTTTTGTCCTTCAAATCTGTGCTCATTTGTCTCAACCCAACCTCTTTCCTTGCATTATACCAATACATCATAGCATCCCGATGAAAAAAATATTAGTCTAGTGATAAATCCTTTTCAAAATAAAAGAATGATTAGGGGAAAGAGATTATACCGTTAAGTGATACATTTTGTTTTTCCCCGTTTGAAAAGAATGCTTGTTGGACATATGTCAACAACTGCCTCATAGTTTTTCAACCTCTGTCCACAAGATCAGGAGCTGAAGTTCCGTGCACCTGCTTCTGTTGTCTTAAGTGTTACTTTCACCCCTCACAAAATGTTTTTTTACTAAGAAAAGATATCTTCTCATTTCTGGCAATCTTGTTCAAAGTATTATTAGGCATTAGATGTGAACATCTCTCCAAGTAGAAATTCAAATATCAGTTTATCACTTTTTGAAAGACTAGTCCTTTCTGCTAAAACTAACTACCCATTAGTCCCTTCACAAAATATTTGAATTAAAACTTTAAAGGAAGCAGTTAGTGTCTTTTGATTTTTTTTTTTTGGACTAAAGCATAGATATTCTCTTATTGGAGGTAATCCCATTCAAAGTACTGTTGAGTACTAAATGAGTACCTTTCCAACATGAATTCAAATCTTAGTTTGTCATGTTGTAGGAGATTAACCCCTTCCGCTGAATCTAAACCCGTAAAGACTTGTCATAGGAAATGTGCTTCTCTTTTGAGTTACAAGTTCCGCATAATTTCTACTCTTCTGTGTACCGTGTAATGTGCTTCACAGCCCAACGTGGTCTGCTTCTCTAGTCCAATTCCTTGTGAAACTGTCGTCCTTCAAGTATGCTGAGACTGCTTATTAAAGACTTGCATATATTCAGAAGATGTAAAGACTTGCCACAGGAAAGACTACTTAAAATATACACAGTACAAACACTGTTTTTCCCAGATTTTTTTTTTTTTGAGATTTTCCATCCACAAGATTAAATTAATAAGGGTAGGACATAGTTTAGAAGTTCAGTTTAGGGGAAATTTTGAGATGGACCAGTCGTCAATGCCTGGCAAGACCTTTCACACTAGTATAAGTGGATAATGTGCAAGATCAAGACTGATCAAATATTTCAGAAGTTTAAAGCGAAACAAATTTTTTCCAATAAAAAACTTCTGGAAAATGCTATATATGCGGATGGATTATAAATTGCTACAAAGTAAAGCCGGAAATAGTACATTTAACTACGATGTGAAAGATTACAACAATGCCTTAGATCTCATTTATACAGTTTCCTAATTACAATGTTCTTCCAGAATTCGTTATTCAACCTTTGCTATCCCCACTCCTCCAGGCATGCTGGTTTCTGCTACAGTCTCCCTTACAAATCTGCAATATCATTAAAGACAGTGATAAGTAAATCTTGAAATATGAAAACTATAAACCTAATGTTGCCAAGCATAAAAAGAACCACCTTTCCAATTTGTCTCGCGATGACTGCAATACATAGACTGCGAGGATAAAAGATAACGCAAGTCCTGCATAAACCCATGGATATGTCTTTAAACAGAAGACAAGGTTGTTTGAGGTGTATTTGTCAAATAATACATCTATGAGAAAGGTTGTGCACCAAACTACTGACAATGGGGAGACAGGATGAAAGCTGATGCTGCAATAAATGGGCAATAAAAAGGCTTGTTGTCTATGTCAAAGACACAGGTTCACCTAATCATATTGGTTACCTGATCCGAACAGAACAAAAAATCCGGAAGTCACATCTATCTCTGATTGCTCCTTCCTGAAAAATTTTGAATCCAGGTTCAGCGGCTGTCTTTCCTAAAATTAGGACAGGCTATGATGCCATAAAACTGAAGTACCTCCTTCAAACCGTAATACTATATAAACACTCCCATAAGTTCGTATTTCCAGCAACAAGTGATCCAAAAGATTTGAAATGGTTTCATTTCAATGCTTTGAGGAACAAATATTACGTCCATTCATATGACATGAACATTTTGTTAAGAAATATCTAATTTCCCTGGCTTAAGACGCTCTTTTCAATTTTTGCCAGCAAAACAAACACAACTCATAAATACTTATAGTGAAACTTATGGATTTAATAAAAATCGTATAACATTCAACGTACTGTTTCCCGATTAAGAAGGGCAAAACTTACCATCCACTTTTGAAATTGCAATCAAGTTCGTTAGTTAAAATTTGACATGCAGGTCAACCAAAAAAAAAAATGACACGCAGAGAAGCATTTCTCATCTAAATACACTTCTTTTCACTACAGATATTAAGAGAAAAATTTTGTTCAAGGAGGCAAACATTTCAGAACAAAAATTATTGAAGACTTAACAGCAATTAAAAGCAGATAGGACAAAAAACTAGGGAAAATGTCTCAGACAAAAGCTAACAGAGGGCCACTTTCAGCATAGGTTCAACTTATTGCGCATCATCAAGTATGCACAATCAACTATTCAACTACAGTCAGTCCCACTAACTTAAATACTAAAAGTATAAAGGGAAAGCTTATGAAGACAGAATCAATAGGAGTTTGGAAAATCACAGGATCATTAAAAAAAATGGCTACTGGGTTCGCAAAAGGCAGATATATCCTCCCTACATGTTTTTTACCCAGCCTGAAGGAAACTAAAGGCAAGAAGTTCGTGCTTTCCAAAGGAAAAAAGCAGGAAAAGAAGCAAATGTGATTCAAATGCTACAAATATTGACCAAGGGGCTTCACTTGAGTAAATATTGACTTGATTTAATATATTAGTTATAAACAAACAGCAACTACTATGTCAAATTTGAATACATTCAGCTAAAGCAAAATAACACCAACCATGTATATCGAACAAGTATATGCTTTGGCCAGTTCTGAGGATCCCAGAAATGCTTACGAATCTCAGGATGCAGTTCAACATCTGTCAGGTAAAAACCAACAGTGAGACTAAAAGACTGGTCAAAATATCTGCAAAATGCACAGAATCAGAAAGTTGGAGAAACAACGAGGGAAAACGAATCACATGCATGCCACTTGACCCCATCTAGTCCCCTCCTATATCAGCAACATTAATCACTTGTATTGAACTCCTTTGAATGCTTAGACGAGAGTGGAATCAATATATAAGATAAAAAGATGTAGATGAACAATTTTTTAAGAGTACGGAGTTAAAAGAAACCAGTGAAAATATACGACTAAATATAGGGTTAAAGAAATATCTGTAAGACGTGCTTGGTTATAACTGTTAGTCCCATTTATTTGATCCCAAAAATAAATTGTTAAGCAAGAATTATCAGCATTATATCATAGAATAGTATAACATTAATCAGGTTATAAATATTAGACATGGAAAAGTTTCTCAAGCAACACTCAGATAACGCCCTCCTGCATAATGCAATGATGACAAGTTTGTGACATAACTTTCAAACATTAAACACCAAAGCCTTTAAAATCATGAACAATGTGCCGGCACAGAGGTTCACTTCTCCAACATAACGTATTGATCACCCACCAACTATGACAACAACATGTAATTTCTTTTCTATTTTTAGTTTGAAAAACTAATAAAAGAAGCATGGACTGGAGTGTGTAAGTTTATTGACCGCTTGACAGAGCGGTCTAAAATGAAGATGATTAAATAATTAAGAAGGAAACACATACAACGGTGAGGCATATCCACAACTTTTGCAGTGACACCAAGCAAATCAGTTCCTGAATATCTCTGCATGAAATACAGATTGGCAGCTTAAAAGCCTGCTAATGTTTATGCAAGTGACAAAAGGCTTTATTGCTTTCATTTGCGTTCCTGACACAGCCTTACCAAGTTCACTTCAATCATTGGAACTTCAGTACTCTTCCGATTTATCACCAGAAGCCATGGGATAAAGAACTTTTCCCTACCAACTTGAAATGATCTACATGCACAAAAAACTACTGAGAAGAACATTTTGTGAAAGGTACAAAGAAATTTAATAACAGCAATCTGCTCCTTCATATAACGAAAACAGTGCAGTTGAAGAAAAAAGTCATTACATTACGTTGACTGCATGATATATTTTCTTTTACTTTCTTGCCGGAGCATCAGCAAGTACTTTCCATCTTTACTGCACTAAATAATTCAGTACATACATCTAATTTTATGTGCATATTACACCGTCACCTTTACATTCGTAAAGTTCCAGGCCCATTTCAATGAGACGATTTTCCTAACTTTATTGGCATGCAGCCTAATAATTGTCAAATCATATAGCGACTAAACTCCATTTATGCAGAAAGAAAATCCCATATTTAATGCATTTTCTAGCTTTCAAAGCAACAGGAAACAAGAAACACAACCCTAATCCAGGGGAATCAATCTTTTACAAAATTAAAACAAAAAAGAAATAAACAGATCAGTAGAAGAACAAGAAAAGACGAAATCGACTTCCTCTTCTCAAAGACAGGTGACACGATGTTCTCAAACACTGAACTCACCCATAACCCACGCTAATCTCCCACCCCAACCTACAGTTGCTACAGTAGCAACTTCCATAATGCAGACGATTCCACAGAGAACATTTCCCCTAGAAGGTTCTTCTTATTAGGAAACTCTGCACATTTAATGAAAAGGTACCCAGAAAATTTCTTACATTTTATAAGGATCAGCCCCAGTAAAACCCGTCGGCTTCGGAATTGGCATCAAAACCTACAAGTCAATTTCCCACCAAGAACCAACAACAATATCAATTCACATACAGAGGAATTAGCTTAAATTAACAAAGAAATACTGCCAACTAAGCACCCCAAATAAAATGAAGAGGGTGAAAAGCATATTCGATGAATTCAGACCTCACGATTCACTGCAAAGATGGGGCAATGCCGGCCAATCAGGTCTTGCCAAACAGTTCTTGACTGTTACATAAAATTCATAGATCACAGAAACCGTATCAGAGAAATACAAGATTGAAGTACACGAATTGAAATAAAGGAGAGAATTTGGGAGCACAGACAGAGTGATATTGACCCATCCTGCTCATGGGGACGATATCTCCGGGTCTGTAAGCGACGGCAATAGGAAGAAGCGGAAGTAACCACATAAGAAGTGAGAAAGCCAATTTGCCGCTGAAGGCAGCCATGGCTGCGGTTGATGAAGCCTGTGAGGTTCTTCACTTGGTCGTCGTCTGAATCCCGGCTCGGCTCCGAGTGACCAAAGAAATCGGCAAAATATGGTTGTTAATGTTAAATGGGCCAATTGGCCCAATAAAATGGACAGCTAGGCCTATGATTTGGGCCAATCAAGGCCCATCCTTTCGTTTGATCCAATGTCGTATTAAATAAATAAAATGTTTGTTGATGTACCATCTTTTATTTGGCATGACAGAGCTTGGATGCCAAATAGGTTATTCCTCTTTAGATAAATAATTTTTAAAATCGGCATTTAATGATAAAGTACGATAGCACTAAATTTGACTAGACACTGTTATGTTTATTCGGAGTTATTAAAAAAAAGCCATTGGCATTGTTATTCTTTTCTTTTATTATTATTATAAAAAGTTTAGGTGAGTTGGGTCTCAGGGGCTCACCAGGGTTAGGGCATACCTCCAAGCTCAGAGAACGCTTATAGAGGTATTTACAGATCACCTACCAACAAGGTCCTCACATTGGCATTGTTATTCTACTATTGATTTTTTATAATAAGGAGTGCATTTTTAGACAACACATTTTTGTGGAATTTCTGATTTTGGGTTTTTTTTTAGAGAATTTTTCCAGTAAATTATTACAGTATGTGACGTAAAATAGCAACCAATTTTATTCAAAAAGAAAACCGACATTTAATTCGTAAAAATTAATTCAATTCTTTTTTTGAGCTGAAGAATTGATTCAATTCAAAACATTATTCCTGTTTATCCTCTTTATAAGTCACTTGAAAAAAAATAAATTTTGTGATTTCTTTTTGATAAGGCACCACCTTCTTGCTTCCTGTATTTAATGTTGAGGTAAGGAAGTAGCAAATTTTTTTTCACAATATATTCTTTCCAGTCCTAAATATATGAACTGTATTATATAATTAATTTATAGAGATTAAAAAAATTTAGTTAAATTAGTTATTTGTAAAATATATATTTTTGTACATTTTTATTAAAAAAATACTGAAAATAACTTATAAATAAAACAGAAAAAAACACGGCTCTATATATCTTCTCCCATCATATGTTGAGAGCAGTTCTTTTGCTCATACACTTGAAGAAATAGTCAAATTCAGGTTACGAAAAGGAAATAGTATTACCTTAATTATTTGCCCGTCCTATTTGATTATGAAATATTATCATCTATCCACCTGTCCCATTTGATTATGGTGATTTAATTATATGGTAATACTTATGTTTTAATCAAAATTCAATAACAATATTGTTTTAAACGAACTAAATATCAAGGGAACGTGGATCAACCTGCTACACATAAACAACCAGCTTATAGCCCAAAGACAAGTGTTCTTTTATTTATACATAGTTGTAATAACTCCATTCATAAAAACAAGAGATATATATGACACACAGCACAAGTGTACATTAAAATAGTGCTCCTTCCGTCTGATTCTCAATATAAGACCCATTTTATAATGTAATTTACACTACAAAAAATATCATATTTTATATTTAAGACCGGAGGAGTAATATATATGATTCATTATGAGAGAATTATAAATTTATGTTTTGATTCATAAAGTCAAGTTTATTGGAATAAGTTTCATCAACATGTTATTGGGAGACACATATAAATAGTTAAAATATGTTGCCATTATTTAGATGTGGGATAAAATATGGATTCCATAGGGTACATTTTATTCTCTTTTATATAGTCGTCACATTTTCTAGAATTGATATGGCCATATGGGATTGGATCATTGTGTAGAGATTTGGTTAATATATAATACAATCTGTTACATTGGAACAAAAATTTGAATAGATTTTGGAATAAGCATAAACACTTCAAAAGTTTATTTAAGAGACAGATCTATACAAATTGAAACAAGAATAATAAAATAGAATTTAAATTCATGAATTGTACTTATTAGCGTGACATAAGATAATATAATTCTATAGATATCTTTCTGGTTTGAGCAGTATCTTACTCCATTTTTATATGAGACAGAGATAATAAATTCAAATTATATTAAAACAAGTAAATAAGGATGGAAGAAGTAACATTTAACTTTACCCTTTCTCGAAAGAAATGTGATATTACTTCTTGTTCATATACTTCCATTCCCCGTTGGGTGTATTATTAAGTTGGATATACAACTCTAGTATTCGAGGACTAAAAAAAGTGTTTGAAACACTCTAAAAATATTTTTAAAAAGTATTTTTTGTAGATCGAGACAAATTCTTTCACATATTTATTTTGTATATTATAAAATTATTTTTAAAACCATAATTTGATTTTTACCCAAACACTTTCTAAATCAATAAGCACTGTAAATTGTTAGCATCTAACATTTATCATTTGATCCAAAGGTTACTAATTAATTTTACAAGTATACATAAATAATTTGACATTAATAATTAAAAAATAATAAGTATTCATGTGAAAATTTACAAGTCCTACATAAAAATTTACATAGGTGACAGGTACATATGCAAATTTTAGCAACTAACAATAACAAAATAATAAGTGTCTATATAAAGAAATAGCATTTTAATCATTTATCATCAAAACAATAATTCACTTTAATTTTTTAATACTGCAAGTGTAATTTAAGAATACTTTAACCCTTATTTAAAATAAAAATCGCATGGATGAGGGTTAACTGAAGTTGGCCCTCTTTTATATATCTCCCATGGCCATGTCCCATGACCTGTCGTTTTAGCTTTGTGGTTATAAACTCACGAGACTGTGTATATCCATTAACAATTAATAAATAATTCGAAAGATCAAGTCAAGCTGACGCATGAAGAGTTGATTCCAGATGCGAATATTTTGCACATTCTGCTGTACATAATGTGTTAGGTGTACGTGAATTATTTAGATTAACTTATAATGTAATAATTGATATTTTTAAATGAAATTTTCGAAACTAACCTAACCAGTTATCAATAGTCAAACGCATCAACGTAAAAAGAGTATATTGTTCACAAATCACAAGTAATGAATCATGTACGTAAGTTATTGTTTCGAATACTTTATATAATATGTATAAATACTCACTAATAAAATATAAAATTTATAATAAGCTGCAATATTTGTTTTACAAAAAAAAGAGTCAATTTTATAAAAGTTTCAAAAAAAATATTATCCTCACTAATGAATGGAAGCAAAAAAAAAAAAGCAATAAATTAAAGCTAGATGCAAACCTATTCAAACATAAAAAAACAGAAACAAATAACCACCTATAGATACAACCTATATGCATGTCTCAATCATCACCTGGTAATAAGCTGCAACATTTGCCCATTTACAGCTCATCTTATATGGAGATGAAGATGAAAGAGAGATGTCGAAGAATTTGTTATAAATATTGATTGATGAGTGGATGATGATAACTCATAGATGACATTTTAAAATTCCATTCCATGGTTAATATTATTCTCTAAATTCCATTTCATGGTTAATGACATTATGCCTTATAATTCTCAAATGGAAGGTTTTCTTATATCCATTGCAATGACCTCCAATAGTTTCATGTTGTACCATAATGTAGATTAATTCCTCCATTATGAAATTGTAACTCTTCAAAGAATTGAAGACCTATAAATATGGGCTTGATGCAAAAGATTGGATGTACATGAGAGTCTATATGAATGAGAATTTTTCTCTACTGCCTGTATCTACATTTCTCGCTTACTTCAATCACGTTGTTCTTATTTTCCTTCAATAATTTATTAGTTTGGGTGAAAAATAATAAACATGGGAGACAATGTAAATTAATGTCTTACAGTTTAAACCAAATCTAATCCCTGATAACTAACTCCTATATATTGGAGAGAATATTATATTATGAAAGATGTTAAATTTTCCCAATAAATATTAGTACAACTAATAAGGAGTCTCATAAGTCAAAAAGTCATGGTTCAAATTTCTTTGTTGATGTGAATATCTTGATAATAGTAATGTGCAAGTATTTTTGTAGGGGATATTTAAACTTAGAGACATGTCCCAATCCTGATGGACTTTTAGGATCTAATTCATTTGAAGTTTTCCTAAAAAATCCATGGGGAGAGAGTGTGTTGTTATTCTTTGTGTAATCCTACCTCCATTTCTATTTATAAAATCCTGTTGTAGATTATAAATAAAGTATTATAAATAAAATCGGATATAGTATCATTTTTCAAAAAGATGAAGCTAGATGGCAAGAGAAAGGAAGATTCAGAAACAGAAAAATGATAGGAGAGCATATAAACTTAAAATTGGTGGTGGGACAGTCTCCAGGTGGCATCCTCTTTCTTTCAAATGAATCATGGCGTATATTGAATTTTACAGGTGATGCTCATTTTAGTCAACCTGTTGTAATTTCTATATTATTCTACAGCTACTTATAATTCATTTCTGTATTATTAGTTTTACCAACATTACTAATTAACTACTGGTAAACATTCATCATTTTTAATACATGTCCTCATTAGCTTTCTTAAATACCAACATTTTGACGTAAGATTTATTCGACTTAATTACTCCAGCTATGCTTAATATAAGACTAATTATTGAGTTGATGTTAGCTCTAAATATAAGATATAATTCTCTGTTATTAATTTTTTTAAATTACATCTATTGATACTCCATCTACTATAATCAAGTAAAAAAAGAGAGAGGATATTAAGAAAGATGATTATGGTATATAGTATTAAGAAAAATATATATTTCTTATAGTTAAATTAGTTAAATAAGTCTTAAAAACAGAAGGAGTAATTAAATGGTATCAAGTCTGGGATCCTATCTCACTTCGATCCTTCAGTTCTATATATATTAAAAAAGCATTTAGGACAAGTATTTATATTTGTTATGTCAATTGTAAAGTCTTCAATTATACATAATTATGTATTATATTTTTAAAATATTATTATATTATACATCTACATGAAAAAGAATATAAAACACACAATATATGTGATTAGAGAACTTAGCATAATGAATATAAGAAACTTGAGTATTTTTTATAAAAAAAAAGAGAAGAAGAATGTGTTTT